GGAATGCAATAAGCTGCAAATACGTAAAAACTTAATACTCCTATCTATATCCTGCAATGCACGCAGAAAGAAGGTCCCTACTATACGAAAGGAGAGCAGTCCCAGATAGCGCAGCACAGGCTGAAGGGTCCCAGCCTCCAGCAGCTCAGGGGACAGGGCTGAACATCAGCATATGGACCCATGGAAAAGTATCTGCATGACACTGCAGAACCTTCCCCACAGCATCTGCACTTCTGCTGAACACTTCTGGAACAACTGCTTGCCAACCAAGAATCAAGCACATAAGCTGAGTGGCAGCCTCTTAATATGCAGATCAATTTATACAAGCTCTACTCCTTTATCTATAATCAAAAACAACGCTGATACTCAGAAGCTCTGAACCACGCCAATCAGCCCCACACTTACACAGGAACAAAACTGACAAAGACTGCACAGATTTGACTGCATCTTTTCAGAACCCGATGTCAGTCTCACTAGGCAGATTCACAGTGACTCCTTGCAGAAGTATTGCTGAATTCAGTCCAGGAAGTACACAGAGAAGCCCAACACCTTACAAGACAACACTACTCCTGTTTGTAGAACCCAGTGATACTTTATGCTTCCTCCTTCAAGGGAAAAATGCAACATTGGCTTGTGTTAACAAATGTGATGCTAGGCAAAGTCACTTCAGACACAAAAGCCTTCATTAACTGAGAAAGATCAACCAAAACTAGCAAGCCACATGGAAGGGCTCTCTATCAGTTCAACTTCTGTTAAGAGCCTCCATTCAAAATTTCAACACAAAGCAATAAAATTTCAACTGAATATCATAAAAGGTTCAGCAAACAAAAGCATCCAAGTGTAAGCACCACCCAGGCAATAAGCACTGTTATCAGACTCTGCATATCACAGATCAGCAACGTGTAGATGTCAAATCAATTCTGTAACAAGTGGTTAGGTCAGAGAAACCAAGGCTGATAACAGCATCGCACAATGAGTGCAGAGCCCATATCCATTTCTATCACATGCATAATATTTACGGCTGAAAACCCCACATCAGTCCGTTAAGTCACAGCTGCCAGACTCAGCCTTTCCTCAGGGCAGTCACATGGATAAGCAGACTGCAGCCTCCCAGGGATGGGGAATCAGCCTGCTGTCACCTGCCCTAATGCCACTGGACGACCACATCCTCTTACAAGCACTATTCTTTTAAGACTGATAACAATGCCACAACACGTTCATCACAAACGTATACGAAGGCAAGTAACTGTTCCTTGAAATCACACAATTTGCTGCACCCTCCACATACCCTTCTGTCTTGGTGGCTGGTAGTTGCTTCTTCAGAGTTTCTTTATCTTCAGCTTTCAAGATGCTGAAACCCAGGAGCTGGGTGGCCCCATACGCCGGGAGGAAGCCCAGCTCTGCCCGGCGGCTCACAAAGCAGTCCGGGTGGTACCAGTTATCGATCATCCCCAGCTGCGGTTTTTCAGGATGCACCATCTTCTTGGAAATCCGAATCTGGCCCTGGGGCAGGATAAAAAGACACAACAGCAATTGTTAGGCTGTACTGGGAGGAGCAGGATGTTAGTAAGCTCATTACCAACATGATGCTTCCTGCACACCTGCTAAATGCCAATAGTTCCTCCACCAAAGCCTACAACTATTGTCCAAACCCTTTCCTTACAGCTCTGCTGCTTTCACTAATACCTTGTCCTAGGTTGGAAAAACAGCCTATTAAGTAACTTTCTGTTGAAAAAAGAACACTTGAAACAGATAATTCTGTAGTCTTTACACCTCCAACTCCCTGCCAGTTAACCGGAATAAGCAAAGATCACACCACCAAGCCACACGGAGGGGACTCTGAAAGCTGACTTTATGTCCTTATCAGTCAATCTTTACTACAATCTCATCCTCTGCAAATTACTTTTCAGATGCCCAAATAATTATTTGACTTAAGTGCTTTTAGACTGCAATGCCTCATGCTCCAATAAGGGATTGTCTACACCCCAGCCAGCAATATTTCTGCAGACACAAGTATACCAGCATTGTCACATGGCCCTCACCAACTGCACAGAACTGGCAGCTCTATTCTCACCTACCAGAGGCTCACAGCTTCACTTTGCAAATTGTCTCTAAAAGTAGAGCAACAAGACAAGCTGAAATATGGGGCATTATCATTAATTAGGTGTACTGCTGTTTTTATCTGATGCATAGAAACAAAGAAAGAGGCTGACATCTCTGCAGTGTCTGAACAAGCAGATGACACAGTTAGCGGTGGCTCTTTCACACTTCTATTCTAACCAAGCACGCTGGCAAGCAACATTTCAGTCTGCTGTAATGTCCAGGAAGAAGGAAGCATCAGCAGATCTGAAGTCCAGGCTCCAGTGCCTGAGGGACATCTTTACATCAGTCTTCTGACACGGCTGCTTCTCAGACCAAGAAAAGAAACTCTACAACTGCCTTCCAAGTGCAGGACATCAGGATGCAGTTAGGGAAGCTTCTGTTTGAACTGAGACTGGTGGGAGAACAGATGGATGAGATGGAGAACTAAAGAGAAGCTTTTTACCTTTTCTATTTTCTGCTCACAGCCTTTGCACGTACTCCTATTAGACTTGGCATACTCTGCAGCAAAGTCAGTTAGGCTCTTCTCAGCTTTGCCACCTCCTTCCTGGTCCCCTCCTTTTCCTGGAGAGGAAAAGTAAATACAGAGCTTTAAAAGGCACCCTCCCTCCTTTTTTGTTTTTTCCCCATCTGTTTCGGATTGTCAGCAGTCTAGATTAATAAACCTGTGTTCTGCTTCAAAACAGAGCCCCTCTCAAAATAAAAATCCTCTTCCTCTTTCAAAGTGATAACTTCCTTTTTTCTTTTTTTTTTTTTTAATTATTAATACACTTCATCAGGCAGTCATCATTCTGAAACTGCACAAGCATCTGGTTTACACAGTCATTCATTGGGTTTGGTCTGCTCTGTACTTAGATCACCCCATTTCTTCCTGGCTCAGTTAATCACCTAACGGCTCTATAGAGCTACCACAAACACGTTCTGCAGTGGCAACATAGTAAGTATTGCATGCCAAAAGAGTATTAATACCAAAGAACTGAAAACAAGATACAGTATTTATAACAAAAAATATTTGGCAAAATGTCTGCCGACTGCCTTGGCCTTCTTCCACTTCCCCCCCTTCCCCTTCTGCTTTAAAACTGGTCTGAATCACAGTGCTTGCACCCTGGCTCTGGAGACTGGACAAACCACAGCAACTCTTCTGACACCGTTTGCCACAGGGACACGGCCACTAAGTAACTCTAACAACAGCCTGAGAAGACAGAGCACGGTTCCAGCTCTGGACACCAGGACAGCTCTGCTTACCTCCTCCAGGGCCTCCGGTTTCAATGGCCTTCTTGATTTTCTCCTGGTCCTCCCAGCGGAGCTCAGGGAAGCCATCGATGTCCGTGTGGGACACAATGCGCGCTCGCTTCCAGAAGCAGCTGTAGTGGTGCCAGTGAGGGACTTTGCCATCAAACATGGGCGACTAGAAAAAACACACAAGGCTGAGGTGCAGCAGTTGAGATTCAAGTGAGTGGGGTGAGGGGGAAATGAAGAGTATTTGGGTAAACGCCAGCCACTGGCCCCGCTCCATAAAGACCACAAACGTGACACAGAGCCCCCACGACGCCAAGGGAACACCACAGCCTCCAGCAGGGCAGCACCACAGCGCAAACCCTGCAGCTCTGCAGCACCCCGCCCCGCCGACGGAGCTGTGGTAGGCCGACTTCGAGCCGCCGGGTCAGAACCCGGCAGCGCTTCGACACCCAGCGGAGAGAACGGAAAGGCGGTTCGGCACCAAACACCGCGCACAAACAACGGCGGCGTTAATGACATCCGGCGCTCGGCCACCGCTGCTTCCAGCGTGGCTCTCTGGTCGAGCGCACGCCTACCCCGCGGCACCGCAGCGAGCCGCTCCGTGCGCCCGAGGCCATACGGAGAAGTTGCGGGCGGCCCATACCTGGAGGAGCGTCGGACGCGGCCCCGGGCAGCCCGAGCAGACGGGGGGCGGCCCCGCCCACTGCCGGCCAGCATCCCTCCCGACCCAAACCGTCCCGTGGTTCTGCGCGTACCTGGCACTACGATACAAGCGCAGAGCGTGGCCCGGCCGAGCCCGGCAGCGCGGCGCCGCATCCCGCAGACAAAAGGCAGAGGAAGCGGGGCCACGTGCGTCGCCGCTCCGCTCCATCGGGCGCCCCGCGCGGGGTGGGCGCCACGCTCCCTGCCTCCCCCCGGGCTAGATTGCGGGCGCCCCGCGGCGCCGTGAGGCCGAAGCCCCGCGGGACGACCACAACGGGGGCCCCCGGCAATACAGCCGAGCCCCGGGGCAGCGCCGTACCTGCACCATGAGGGCCAGGCGCAGCGAGTCCTTGGCGATGCTCTCGCCGCACTTCTTGCACGACGCCCGCCCGCTCTTGGCGTATTCCGCGCGGTACGGTTTGTCCGCCGTCTCCGCCATCGCCGCCGAGCGCCGAGCCCCTCACCCCGAGCCCAGGCGCGCCGAGCCGCGCCGCGCGCCCGCCGCAGGCAGCGCTAGCCGAGCGCCGAGCACCCTGCCCGCCCCAGCGCACGGCCGCCATCCGACGCTCGGGCAGCGACTCGCCATGTCTGGCGGCGCCTGGAACCTTCCGGTGCGGAGCGGGGTATCAATGGAGGGGGCGGGGAGCGGCGGTCACGTGGGAGGTGCTGGGGGCGGGGCCTTCTGCGTCCCTCTCACCTCAGAGGTGATAGCCTGTAGCGCCAGCAGGGGGCGCTGGCAGTACAGCCTCGCTGGGGAACGGCGCTGCGGGGCGCTGAAGTTCGCGCAACCCGTCGCCGAGTGTTTTTCTGTTCCTTTGATGGCCACTCCGAGATTTGTGGCTCGGGGACTTCCTGCATACCATTACCCTTGGGGGAATTCTTCTTCCACGAATGTGTCCAGCGCCTCTGAAAATACTTTCTGTTTATACGGTATTTCTTTACAGGGTTCCTGCAAAGGAGGAACGTCTCCCTGTTGGTGTTCCCTCCCACTCGGGCCACTAAATTAACGGCATTCGAGGTAGGCTTGAGTGGATTTTCTTTTTAAAAGAGGATAGGAGGTTCTTCTGCAGGAATAAACTCAAATGCGGTGCTTGAAAGGATCAGACTTGAAGTAAGGCTGTCTACACAAAGCATTACACTGCTACGATTCTAACTGCGTAGCAATGTGATTTCTTACAGTGTCTCCTTGATTTGTGGTATTGTAGTGCCCACGTCACGTTAATTCCCATCATAAATCTGTTGCTCTCCGAAGCCTCATCTCACTCTGCATCTCTGTGTCTGAAGCCTGATGTGTGGATCGTAACATATCCGTTTCCCTCTTACAAGGCAGCGAGGGACCAGTGAGCGAGGACTCATCCAGGGCCCTCAGTGACGCTGACAGCACTGTGGATGCTGTGCTTTGTTACAAACCAGTGGATGCTCTGGCGGCATTGAGAAGTGGTGCCTGCAAGGCCATTTTCCCAGGGGATCATACGTTGAAGTAAATTCAATACTTCAGAAGCCTCAGAGTTTGGCTGCTGAGTTTTACAACAAGCTGCAGCAGCAGTTAGAGTAAGATTTTTATGGTTCCACACAGGCTCTCCACATCCCTTTCTAACAACAGACCAGTGTCAGTGGGCTGCTGACTTTTGGGATCCTGCTGGATGACAAGTGACACAAAGGCACACGAGACCTGTGGTTTGTTTCCCCTCTCTGTAACCACAGCAGGCTAGAGCCTCCAGATTCTCAGAGCTAAGTTTTGTTTATGTCCAGTACTGACTGCTGGTACTTGCCAGGAAAAGTATGAAATAGAAGAAGTATGAAGAAAAAATATGTATCACATATGGGCTCCCTGCATTGTGCACAGCAGTGTAGGTGAGGAACGGCATCCAGTTGTTAGGGCTGATCTGCAGGCTTCATCGTAAATATCAGGATCCTTAAAGCCTCCCTATCTGGAGTCATGTGATTATATAGGAATTCCGCCCACACTTTATGGCATCCCCAGCAGAATTACATTTTGACTTCGGGGCCATTTTTCACTAGATTCCTCTGAAAACCAGAGCAGAACTGAATCAAACTTGCTACCTGCATTCTGCAAGTGCAGGTCCCAGGAAGCCATAACACAGCTCCCTGTTGAAACAGGACCAAGTGCTTCCCCTTGCATTGTGCTGACAGTGCCTTGAGCACTAAATCCTCCATACTGTGCTGCACTGATCTCCATTTCTTAGATATGCAAAGATGCCTTCTGACAAGTTTTTCACCCTGTGAAGCATCTCATACAGAGTGAGAAAATGTTGGAACACTACTGTATATATCCTGTAGGGGAGCCAGAACAGTTCTTACTCAGGTCTGGATTTGTTGCCGGGGGAGACAATTTAGCACTAATTGAGAAATTTGTACAAAAAACCCTTTCAGAGCTATGTTATCCTGTCCATATGAATGATTTGTTTCTTCCATGGTGCTGCACACAGTTGCTATAGCTGGTATGACCCTGTTTGCATTTAGGCAGCTGACTAGATGCAACAAGTGACTATGACTCAGATGCGCCTTCTCTTTTTGTGCAAGTGATCAACTCCCAGACCACTCCAATGGGAATGGGATGCAAAACTATGCACCCACATCTGAGTGTCATGTTGTCTTGCCACAGAAGAAATGAAAGGGATTATCCTACTGTCTGGGAGAGAATGTATCTCCTACCGTGGCTCCTGTGCAAGGGTGGGGTTTTGATGCCTAGAGCTGACTGGCACTGAGAGACTTGGTTAGTGGTCACACATTAATGGTTGGATATGATGCTCCTAGTGCTCTTTTCCAACCTTAATGGATCTGTGATTCCTCCTCAGCAGTCCTGAACAATTTTGCATGACAGTCCAACACAGAACTCTCTGGGAAGCAGCTCTGATGCTTTCCCCCCTTTTTAGAAAGCTTCTTTAAATAAGCTTCTGTTTTTTTAGCATTCCAGATGCATGGGAAAATGGATGTGGGAAGAGGCGAGGAAGGAGTGGTTGGTGGAGGAGAAGCAATACTTCAAACCAACTGAGAACTTCACTGAGCAGCCTCATGTCAGTAATTCAGTGGCAACGTAACAGGGGTGTGACTTGCACATTTGGGGAAGATCACAGTCTAAGGTCTATATCAGAGAGCTCAGCACAGCCACAGTACTCACCATAGTTAGCATCTGAATGCTTGCTAGGAACTGAGGTTATTTGCACTGACATTACCCCCAGGTAGAAATACTGTGCTACCATCCTTGTTTTACAGTCCCCATGTGGCAACTGAGACACAAATGACTATTTGATGAAATTAGAGAGTGGGAAATTAAAAAAGGGTAAGAGGAAATTTGTTCTTATGGCAGGTTAATTAAACCACGGAGTCTACAGCCAGAGGCAGGTGTTGCGGCAAAGCAATGCTGAAAAATTAGAGTTCTCCTAATTGCAAACATTAAAAGGGATGTAACACATTGGACTTTGAAGGTTAAATTCATATCTAATTAATGATGATCACAAGGAGACATAATAGAAGGAAGACATGATTGTAAGTCTTGCTAGGGAGCCTTCCTTTGAGATGCTCAGCGTGGTGAGCTGGAGGTGGATGAGCACTGGCCAAGTGGGCACCTGTGGCCCTTCCTTGATTTCTGCTGCCTGTTGACATGAGCAGGAAAACCATCTCCGGGCAAAAAGCAGAATGCAGGTCTCCTAATCTGGGTCATCCTGCATCCATTTGGTCAGCCCTGGGCAAAACTATGGAAGACTCTTTCCTGGGCCATCTGCTTTTTTATTTGGATGCTCTTCAGAAGCTTGTGTCCCCACTTGAGTTCCCAAGCACCTTTTTTCACCAGGTGGTGATGGTTGCATACAATGATCCTGGTGGTCTTCTCCAACTTTAATGATTCTATGACTTTATTCCACCACCTCTTTTTATCAGGCGAAGGCTGGACTTACATTTGTCCAGATACTCTGCAGTTCTGCCCAGGTGAGCAGCAGGATTTTATTTCTGTCCTTTGAGCATCCATTACATGGCAAATTCCACTAATTCATAAGTGCAACTAATGAGCAGTGGAAGTGGAAGATACCCCATAATTCACCACACTTGGCCCTTGGTGAGGAGGTGACTCTTGTTATGCTGGCAGCCACATCCTCATTGCCTCCCTTATAGGCTCTGCCTCATTCCCAGTTGCCTTCAGACACAAACCTTTCTGGGCATCTGATGTATTCACAAATCTACCAAAACAAATTAAGCCACTTAATTCAGATGTCTCACATTTTTTCAGGGATCTGGTTAAGATCCCATTTACACAGTGTGTAATTGGTAATGACCAGACAGAGAGGGAGGGCTGGAAGCAGACCCCAAGAGCCCTGATCTCTGCTTTCCTAATCTCAAAACATTGTCTGCACTGAGTGCAAACCCTCCAGTGCTGCTCTAATGAGTGCAAACCAGCTATTATCAGGTTGCATTCATCTGCTCTGTGCTTGTAGACAAACTGCACAAAGCACACCAGAGAGTTAAAGTGTGCCGTGCAGCAATGATATAAATTAGAGAAAGAAACAAGAGTAACAACTCATTGATAAATACATTAGCCAAAAGCAACACATTTCCCAGCAATATGTCGATTCTAAGTAAAGCTGCAGCTCTCCCTCCAGCTATGAGGTGAACTTTACAGTGGATTAGCAACCCTGGAAACTGAAGTCCCCTTATGCCAAGAAAAATGGCATGAGGGCAGTCAAGGGCAAGTTTTGCCACCCATGTCTTATTCCATGGCATGCTGACCTCCTGTTGAGTGAGAGGGGAGCATATGATCACTGTGCTAAGGATGCATGCAGCCAGAGCTGGCCATTCTGTTTGGTGCTGCAAAGGGAACACATCCTCTCTGCAGATGGGCTGAGACCAGGTACTTCTTCCATAAGGCTTTGCACATGTTAAGGCTGACAGGAGCTACTTACAGATAAAACCAACTTTAAGTGACCTGTGGTGAGATCGTGTGGCCCTGACTTCCTGCAACACTGCTGACCATGGTTTGGCACTGTAGGGGTGATGCAGAGGACAAGCAGCTCTTGCCTGCACAGATGCACTGGAAGCAGCAGCTGCTGCAGGGATACCATTACAGCATTTATCAAAGTGGATGGCTCCACATTTGCACATTGTTGCTTGTTTACAGGTAGTTTGCCTTGTCCTGCTTTTGCTCTGTCTGAATAAGAGAGTTATCCCTGCATGCCCGAGAGATGAGGCTCAGTTTTGGCAGAGGCCCCAGTGCTATTCTCAGCCTCCTCAGGTCATAGCCAAGCTGCTGCATCAATGCAATCCTGTGGTCTACAGTTACATTTCAGAAACTGCTTTTGGAAAGCACGGCCCTTCTTTACAGCATCTCTTTAAAGAATGAGCCAGTTGCAGGGATCACTCCTGACTGAGGTGATAATCCTCCTTTTTCATTAAGGGACCAAGAAATCGAAGACCAGCAGGAGAGATTCTGGGGTCCTGTGGTAATTTTCTTTCAGGGTTGCATCCATAGCTATAGGGATACATGTAAGCTGATTTGTTGTCATGCGTACATTTATCTTAGTGACTGCTCATTAAGTGAGACCCATTATCATTACTGCTGATGGGAGGAAATGCTCAGACTCCACATTGAACAGAAAGTCTGTAGGAGAGCATGGGATATGATAGTTTTCATTATCTCTAACATCAAGAATTCAGCAACCAAAGTCAGCAGGGATGTAGCAAGCAACTTGCATTTCCTAGCCAAGGGAAAGCATATGGAAATCACTTATCTAAGGCATGAAATGCTCATGGTTCTTCCAAACAAAATTGCTGCTTAATTTAATCATCCTGCAACTAGTCTTAATTAGTTACCCTGCGTCATAATTCTATTCACATCCTCAGGAACCAAAATAGACCAAAAGATGACAGTGTATGCTTCTTGGGACAAAGTAAAAAATACATATAGCAGCACTTTGGTTTATAACAGCTCTCATATAGTGCATCTTTCACACTGCTGCTCCATCTTGGCTACTTGACACGTTGGAGCTCACAGTACCCTGGCCAGGAGGACGTTGGTGCAAAGCAGCCCCAGCAGATACTCGACAATCCTTGTGAGCACGCAGCTGCTTAGAGGGAGTTCAGATATGGTTGTGCTGGTCTGCAATGCTTGGTGTGTGGGGGGCACAGACTGCAAGGGCAGGTGTCAGTGATGGCCTGGGGGGAAAACAAAGTCATTTTTATTTACTAGCAGTTATCCCAGCCACATGGAAGAGCAATGAGGCAGGTGAAGGGACTAGAAAATAAGCGTTATGAGGAGTGACTGAGATAATTGTTTTTTTTTGTTTGTTTGTTTGTTTTTTTAAGTCTGGTGAAGAGGATGCTGAGGGGGGACCTCGTTGATCTCTACAACTGCCTGCTGCCTCTGCAGAGAAGTCAAGATGGTACAAGCAACTGAAAGCGTGAGCTTTAGCAAGAGAAGAGCCTTGCTACAGTTCTACAGATACTTAAGAATACAGCTCCCAAGAGACATCTTGCTTTCAGTTCTTTAAGTCTCTTGTTTCACAGATGTCACTCTCATGACTCTGCATTTCTGTCAGTGCCGTCAGGTGACCAACATAATGAGCCAAATTCAGAGCTGACCTTGAAGCCATAAAACTTTGACAGGATTATAGCCCATTACTCTATCTTTCGTTTTCACGCATTATAGCAACCAGTTTTATGGGAATCTGTACTAATAATCTGTTCTTAATAGCACACATGAAATCCAACCAGAAAAACAAATGACCATCTCAGATTTGACTATCACAAAATGTTGGAGTGCCCAGGGAGGTTGTGAGAACTATATCCTTGGAGATATTCAAAACTAGCTGTACAAGGCCCTGAGCAAACTGTTGCTGGACTCAATTTGAGTAGAGGTCTGCAGTGGTCCCTTTTCATCTGCACCAATCTCTGACACTTTTATGAAGTCCATTAGATTCATAAGCCCATTAACAGGAAAGAAAAAAAAAGGAATCATTTCCACACTTGCTTGAAGGAGTGGTAATTCTCATGTTCCTGGTGAAGAACAAATGGAACAATATGGCATTTTAATATGTTAGCTAAGGAGACAGAATCATAAACTACTTACACAGGCATAAAGCAAAGGGAACAAATCCTGCTGGTAGTGAGCACATGTACTGACCTTCACAGGAATCGAGCCTGTTCATCATTTTGCGAGTTCACATTGTAAGAAAAGGAATGAGTGTGAGATCATTTTTATGTGGAACTATGTAGAAAAATCCCTTTCAATTTGAGTGAATACAAGCATGGATGCCTGCGTTTCCAAGCTCGGAATGCGGTGTGGTGGAGGCTGATAAAGATCTGTGAAAGGTTCCTCACCCCATCCTTTTCCCCCCCACCCCAAAGCTAAAAACAGACAGCATGCCCATAAAGGTTATGCAGTGCCTGCTCTGAAGGGAGGCCAAAATTGCAACCATTTCCCTTCCCCTTGCCCCTGGCCTCAGCAGTTCTGTACAACTTTCTGACTCCCAGCAAAACCTGTTCTCTCATTGAGTTGTCTCCTCTACAGAGGAAAGACACAAATACCAGCTTGTCTCTTTTCAATCAAGGAACATGCAGTGCCAGAGGATGAAGCATCAGATTCTTTACTTTTGATTGAGGCTAATTAGTGTTTTCTCTGAAGAACATTAGAAAAAAATACTCACTGGGTAGTCAGATTACTGGAACTCACAGCCAGAGCACTGCTGCATGAAGCAATGGAGCTGCATGGTACAACTCCAGAGGTTCTCATTGAGGGGTGAGGAGGGAAGCCCAATGAAGGCAATTTCTTCCATTTGTTTTGCAAGCAGCTCTGCTTTTAGGAAAAAAAGCAAAAAAAAAAAAAAAAAACAAAACAAAAACACACAAAGCCATAATGACTGGGTGCAGTGGTCAATGCTTTATCTGTCCGCACTTAACAAGCATAATCAAAGCATCACTACTGGCAATGAGACAAGAGGTTCTACTTCTCCAGATGGTCAGACTTCTCCAGGAAAACTCAGTTCCAGCCCAGCATCTGAGATGCAACGTAGCATTTTCCACACATCTTTTAGACAAACATGAGTGCAAGGGTCCAGTGCCTTCTCAAGCTCTATGCTGTGCATTAGTTGGCAGGCAGCTCAGCACCACACACCAGTTCACTCCCTCTCTGGGCGAAAAGATGGGAGAAAGAATCAGGAAAAAAAAAAAAGAAACAGGTGTTGAGATAACAATCAGTTAATAAGAAATAAAAGGAAACAAAAAACACAAAAATGAGTGATACACAGTGCCATTGCTCACCAACCAACTGATGCCCAGCCAGTCCCTGAGCAAAGCTAGCTACCCCCAAACAACCGTCTCAGTATCATTGCTGAGCGTGGTGTCATATGGTACAGGACATCCCTTTGGACAGTCTGGGTCAGCTATCCTGGTGCTGTTCTATCCCATCTCCTCACTGGCTGGGCAGATCCTTGCCCAAATCTTTGACTCTGTGCAAGCACTGCTCAGCAACAGCTAATCATCACTGCACTATCTCAATTATTCTCATAGTAAGTCTAAAATACAGCACTACATCAGCTACAGTGATGAAAGTTAACTACCCTAACTGAAGCCAAGACCCTCTCAGTTCTACTTTTATGACTGGTGACTAGTTTTACACTTGGCCAAGACAAGCTTTACATTTCATTTTAGCTCAGCTATGGGGGAATGTGCCCATAAGTCCAGGCAGAAAGATTGTGGCCTTGACATAACACTCCTCACGTATTGCAAGAGATTTCTTTTGTAGGATGAAGTGAAATCTCAGTGCTTAATGGTAAGGATCACATGGATCTGTGCTGAACAGATGGAAGAGATATTGCATAAGGCCTAGTTCATGCATTCTTTGATTACTGCCTGTTAGCCTTTATCTCAGACTCTTGGAAACACCAGCTTTCTATCAAAAGGAAATGTCACCACTTTAGCTAATAGACTTTTTTTTCTTCCCCTTGCAAGAGACGCTAATTGACTTTTTTTCCAGTTGAATGCAGCTTTGAAAATGAATATTTAATGTCAGGCATTAAAGTTCCTACATTGGCTTGCAGAGGAAATCTTGACTCACACAGATGCTTGTCAAGAGACAGAAAAGGCAGACCATGCTTCCCTCCCCTCCAAGAGGCAGAAAAAGACTTGTCTTGGTGCAGCTCTGCAAGTATAGGCGATTTTATGCCTGAAGAGAGATTTTCCCCTTTAGCCCTTCCTGCAAGGCTCTGGGCTATGGGGCAGCCACATCCAGCAGCCATTGCCTCCAATAGCCTCACACCTCATTCAGAGAAGTGCTGCAGCTGGCAGGCTTGAGGCTTGCTCCTGTGCAGAAATCAAGGAGAGGTGCCAATTGCCAGCAATTAATATTTTGCACTTTTTTCCCAGCTGCATAATTCCCCAGCTTTGCAGATCAAGCAAGAGACATACTCAAATTGCTTTGCATACTAAATGCTGGGAAGCAAATGGAGGACTTATAACAAATCTGTTGAACAACTTGTTTAATTTTGAGCGTCTGCTCAAGCCCCCTGACTGCAGGCTTAAAGTGAAAGCATGTGCCTCGTGCAGTAGCAACTCAAATATGAGCAGAATCAGGGCCATTTTGAGGCAGTGATCATACTAGACTGCCACCTATATCAGAGCTTCCTGCCACTCCATGGTAGCCTAATAGCTAGTGTAAGACTTCCTCAAGGGAGAAGTGTTAGTTCTGTGAAGTGCCATGGATAACATGGCCCCTCCTGAAACCAGCAAGTCAGTCTGTACTGCAAAGTGTGGAGGTTTCCATCTGCCTTGAAGACAGAGAGCATTGCTTTTGTCCAGAGGATTAGCTGACCCTTCCTGCTAATTGATTAAACCATTTGCTGTCCATGCAAATCACACCAAGAACATTTGAATGCAGCTAATTGCTAAAAAAAAAAAAAAAAAAAAAAAAAAAAAAACCAAACACCCAACTCTCATCTGACAGTTGAGGAAGAGATGACAGTTCTTCCAAGTCATGTTAAAAATATTGCTTTAGTATGGCTTCAGTGGGAGCTGCATCCTGTGAACGCTGAGAGCAGAGTGGGACTGCCTCATCCCTGGGTGGGATTCCTCTAACACATGATATGCCTTGTGGTTCCCACAGCTCAGCAGAAGAGAAGCTACAAGCTCTGAAAACATGTCTTTGTACATTAGAGGGTAGACTAATAGAAGTTATCCCTGAAGGTGTTCAAGACCATGTTGGATGAGGCTCTGAGCAATCTGATCTAGTGCCTGATTCAGTGGTTGGCAATCCTGTCCACAAAAGATCATTACAATTGAATGATCTTTGTGGTTCCTTGCAACCCCAGCCATTTTATGATTCTACAGTATGTTTCTAAACAGATTTTCGGATTTTTTTTTTCCTCTATTCCTAGTCTAGAAGTCAAAAGATGACTACATTTTTTTGGTATAAGCATTTGAAATGTCAAGAGGATGTAATTATCACCTAATGTTAGGAGGAAGCTCCTGAGAACAGCTGGGATCTGCTACTCTGGATATAGGAACTCATGCAAAAGGTGTCAGTGCTGTGCCTTAAAAATCCAAATTCACAGTGCATCTTTGCTTCACTGTTGAGTCTTGCTCCTGAATTTACTCTTAAATCAAACATTACATGTTAGCCTAGATGTACTTTGAATTTGTATTTACAAATTTGTATCAGTAAAGTATGCCTAGCTCACAGAATGTTAAGGACAAGTACAACTTGAACAGGACTAGAGGTGAAAGAAATCCAAGTGTGCCCACACAGGATATCCAGTGCACACAAGTGCTGGCACACTGATAGCCTTAGAGGAGCAACATTACAGTCATTGTGTGACAGCCAAATAGCCTTTTGCTAACCTACAGCTACATCCCAACATTTTGATTCCTCTTTGTATCAAATGCTATGCATCTGAAAATTGGTTACCACTGCAATTCATCACGTCTAATGAGAGAGTAAAGCTCAAGGGGAAAGAAAGAATAAACTTACATTAACCAAGAAGGAAATTTCTCATTCATCATCCAGTGCAAGTGCTGAGCACCCTGTTGTATTGTGGGGAAAAAAATTAATCTGAAGAGATGCTGCCTCACAGGTAAAGGCCAGATCCAAAATTCTGTAAAGGAGGGAGGGAAGGAGAAAGGTTCACAGACAGTAGCCTCACACAAGAAATATACCAGACTCACTAAAGCACGTACTGGATATGATGATGTGACATGCTGCATAGTCACACAGTGAAATTGTGTGCTGGAGGTTTGGAGGAGGGGATGCACTCAGGATGTGGAGGCTGTGGGCAGTTGGCACACAGCTGTTCCTGCTGCCCTCTGGGGCCTGCTGGGAGGAACATGAGCAGCGCATGCTTTGTGTGTGCAAATGGGTGTAAGAATAGCTCCAGCACAGCAGGGAGTGGTGCTGGAGCAGAGAGGAATTCCTGCTTAAAAGCAGGCTGATTTCATAGAGACCTGGTGTTTCTGATAGTTATGGGCTAACCTCAATAG